AGGCTGGAGTGCGAATGCGGTTTGACGCCCCAAGCCTCGCTATAGGCTGGACCTAAGTAAGCCAGGGCTGGACCTGGCCTATGGGTTCTCTGCTCCTGCTGCAGATTATCCAGTGGTGTCATCTTATGTTCAACTAATCAATTCTTTCTTAACTGTGTGGGATGGACTTAAAAGGAGTAGAGCCAGAAATTAAACATTCTTGGTTACTTCCTCAGACATGCACAAAATGCTGACACCTGCTGTATTGGCGACCTAAGTAAGCCAGGGCTGGACCTGGCCTATGGGTTCTCTGCTCCTGCTGCAGATTATCCAGTGGTGTCATCTTATGTTCAACTAATCAATTCTTTCTTAACTGTGTGGGATGGACTTAAAAGGAGTAGAGCCAGAAATTAAACATTCTTGGTTACTTCCTCAGACATGCACAAAATGCTGACACCTGCTGTATTGGCTTTTAAACTGAACGTGATTTTAATGGAAACCCCTTTTCCATGGCTGAAGATGAACTTTTGAGAGCTTGAAAGACTGTCTCACCAACTGAAGTTAATCTGTTACAAGCTATTACCTCATCTGGCTGGTTTCTTTAAACAAAACCATAGAATCATAGAACACTAGAACTGGAAGGGACCTCGAGAGGTCGAGTCCAGTCCCTGTCCTCATGGCAGGACCCAGTACCATCTAGACCATCCCTGATGTCTAATATTGTTCTAATATTCATACTTGACAAAGTTCAACCCAGCAGTAGGAGGTTCTACTTCATCTCTAACAGAGGCTGTGTATTTGATGGTTCTTAAATCTATGCACCCATGAAACATGCCTAGTGCGGTTTGATGATAGAAACTAACCTGATTAAAAAAAAAAAAAAGTCAATGGGACTGAGACTGCTCATTGCTATTATCCTGCTACAGAATAGACCAATAGTGCAACAAAAGTTAAAGGGTGGTGTGGAATTGCTACAGGACTACCAGCAAGACCAAGTCTGGGCCCAACAAGGACTGCAGTTTCTGTTAACTTATGCACCCAAGTATCCAAGAAACTGGAGTGTTTATTCCTGGCTCAAGGTGACCCTTTCCACTTCTTAAGGATACATCTAAACAGTGCTGTCATGCAAGAAGGGTGTGTGTGTAAAGAACCCACTGTTACATAATTCACTCTGGTCTTCCCTTCCTATGAAGGAAAGGCCTGAAGCGGTAGCTGTGGAATAGGTTCTCTGTCTTCCTTCTTTTTATAAATGTCACAAAGTAGCAGTTTCTGCACTACCTGTACGTGTATTCCATGTCATTGGTATTTATGATTTACTCTTAGCCACATAATTTCAATACTATCTGCTGGGGAGGGGGGAGGGAGAAGCTGTTGTTTCGCATTTTAGTAAAAGTCACTGAAATAAAGAATAGTGATACATGCAGTAGTTGGATTAAAAGATGGATTTGTATTTTTCCATGAGCTGCTTAATCCATTGCTGCTTTGGGAGTAAAAAGATGTCATTTTAAAGGAGGGCAAATGTGAGAATGAAATCTGATGAGCTACTCTGTCATGGAGTTGAGACCTATGTACAGTGCATCTTTAAATGTTTTCTATGCTTCTTGGCATAGAGATAAGTGTGAGAACTGCTTTTTATAAATCATGTACTTGTGCCCTTTCTAGCCAATCATTTAGCTTGGATCCTTAGCAGAAATTAAATCTGTAGGATGTGGACAATGAGCTCAGTTAATCTCTCAGCAGTGTTGGATCAATAATCACATCACACCTCCTCTGAACAGATAAATGTTTACAGTATTGTAGGCTGATTTTAGATTACGCATTCTGGTCACCACCTTTAGGGTTGACAGGTCCTTTGTCCAAGGATCAGGCCCAGTATTCAATTATTCTATGATTGGGAACCCTGATGTGCACAGTTGCAACACTCACACTATAGGAACTCTTGTATAATTACACATAGTTTATTAAATACATTTAGCACAGTCACAAACACCCCAATTTCATAAGATAGATCGGGAATGTACATATATATTTCCATATCATACTCTCACACCCTTCCTTCTAGAACAATTGAGCTGTTCGCCATCATCTTCCTCATCACCTTCGCCTTCCTCATCACTACCACTAGCTGTCATTCTGGCACCTCCCAGGAACTATATCATCTTTTCCTAGCTCCCCTAAGCTAGGATGTCACTTTTATCGTATGTTACACTGACCTTATGTTTGATCATATTCAGTAGGGGATGTTTCCTTTTCTACTTATTTGTATTTCCTCACCTTACTACTGTTGAAGTGTCTTTTTTCCCGTCAGTCAAAATAATATTGATTTTTAACTTCTCATATATGTCAATTCAGTAACATGGGCCTTTTGTGGTTGTATATCACATTTGTTATTTCTGCCCTACACGGTTCTTCAGTCTGGTCTTAACTAGTTATTTCAGGTTTTCCTATGTATTGATGTATTTGCTAAGTTTGAGGGATTCTTGGAAGCCCGATGCCATTGAGGTTGCTTTATCTAGGAGAAAGGTCCCAAATATATGAGCACTGACTTTGCTCTCTGGGTGAAAGATTCCAGGCATGTGCATGCCAACTTTGCCTTAGCTCATCATATAGGATGTGGCCTGTAAGTCCGTTGTGTTAACGCCAATAGAAACCTAATGTAATTTATAATAAACACATCATCAAAACCATAAGGAAATAATAAATTTCTGTATCTATAGGCAAGCAGGCAGGTTAGTTCTATTGGCTATACTCCCCCTCCCCCCCGCCCCGGATGGGGTGAAATGTAAAATGAACCCCCCTCACATTGGCACGGATGTAAATGGTCAGATGTTATTATATACCAATGCTATTTTCCCCCCCTCGAGGTGGAGATTGAGTATTATACAGATGATACTCTTGGTATATTTCTGGGATGTGTCATGTGCGCCATTTTATATTATAGATATAATAAATGCGTTCAATGATAATTACTTGTCTAGGTCTTTGCTTATACCTGCTAAATTGTATATTAGAATAATGAAAATAATCTCAATAAACCCTGATCTATACCCATTCTTTTAATCCAACATCCACATCAGGGATTGTTACAGACTCATTACCTTCCTTTGTTAATTGGGGGAACAGCTGGTTTTGCTTTATTCATATTTTTAGTAATTTCTATGAAGTGGGTCTCTTTATGAGCTAACAATGACTTTTCCCTAGGATTATAGTTAATAGGGGGATATGCTTGGTTCCCCATCAAAGTATGAGATTTTAGAGTAAAACAGAAATTTGGATTTGTGATGAGACACTCCAAAGTACACATTGGTATATATATTGGCACCTTTTTGATTGGTTACCACTCAAAACTGGCCATAGATTACTGTAGGTAACCAACATCCTCCACTTAGCCTCACCAGGCATGATAATGATGATAATGATGATGATGACGATTACGTACTCCTCTCCCTGTAGTCCACACAGAACACTGACTATCTCAAACGCTTTATGTCTCCAGATGTACTTATCTCTATTTTCTGATCCCCCAAAACTGGGATTTTCCACTGGGCTGTTAGTCTGTACCAAGTTTCTTTGATTAGATATTATAGGCCTGAAGATTTATACTAACTTACTGAAGCTAATATCTTTACAGGATGAAAGTCTGTAGGTTAATTTGTATTGCTGCTGAATCTAATAAATAAAATGTAACCGTGAATATAATGAAGTTAGGATACAGTAGCAGTAAATATAACAAAGGCAAACTAGCCCAACAGCTACAACATTATGGGGAACGTTAGGTGAACTAAGTCTATTAACTGCCCTGGTATGGGTAACTACTTCATGCATTGCTGTGGAAATCTCCCCCTAACTAACCAGATACATAGGCACCTCCATCAAATGAGAAGATTTT